TGATCCCATAGAAGGGTTTGGGATGGGATCTCTGGGATGATCCCACAGAAGGGTTTGGGATGGGATCTCTGGGGTGATCCTCAGGGAATGCCTGAGGCACTGCAAAGGGCAGGGATGCAGGGATGAGGCTGCAGGGGGGTTTAGCAGAGCTCAGTCATTGAGTGTTTAACATTTACAGAGTGATTTGATTGGGTTTACTGTAATTACAGCAACACTTAACACAGATCTGAGACAGCTGCACCCATCCCATAATGCATTCACAGGCAGGTAAAGCCAGGTGTGCACCTGCTTCCAGGTGTGGAATGGGACCTATCCAAAACTCCCTGTGGCTCCGTGGGACATTCCCATCCCTCTGCCCTCCCCAGCAGGACTGAGGAGCTGCTGGGGCTGGGCTGGCAGAAGCCTCCTGTAGCCACCACCAAGTTCCCATCCTGGCCACAGCCTGAGCCAACAAGCCCAGGCTTCTCTTCCCAGCTTTTCTGAGCGCTCCTGGCAGGGCCAGGCTGTGCTGGGGTGGCCCAGGGACCCTCAGGGGGCTCAGCCAAGGCTCATGGGCAGCTCCTGGATGTGAGGATGGGGCAGGCAGAGCTCCACGTGTCCACAGACACCTTAAAGCAACATCTGGAGAGCTGCTCGGGGAAAAATAAACAGGTTTTTATTTATAAGTTGTGTGGTTTGGTTTTTACAGCGTTTTGATGATGCACATAAATTATTGTTTAAAACCAGAGAACGTAAAAAGTTCCAGGAGGAGGCAGTTGTTGCCTTTGATAATCTCTTTCCTGAGGAATTTGCTGTGTTTTATTTTCAGCTGGAGGTTCCTTTTGCTGGCAACAGGAAAACCTGACAATTGCTTTTCATCTTTATTTGTGCCTGTAGTTCTAAGCTCAGAAAGTTTATCATTATTTACAATGTTCACCGTTTAACAAGACAAAATGCACTTTACTGGAACAACTGCACGTGCAGTGGAATGAAGGGAAAGTCGCTTTCCTCTGGTACCCGGGGCTGGCTCATAATTTTGGGGGTTTATTCCTTTAGTCTGAGGTCTGTGGGACACAGATTGAGAAAGTAAGAAAATCACAGCCTGGAAAATATTCCAGGCTGGAGCTTCTCAGCTCTGTTCCCAGCCCATGAGCTGCTCCAGCTCAAGGCCAGGGAGAATTTCTGCCAGGGTGATCATTTGGTCACAATAAAAAGGAATTAATACCAAGATAGAAGCCCTGTTGTGGTGTGTGCCCAGGCCCTGGCCATGGGGTGTCTTCTCTCTGAACCAATCTCCTTTTCTCTGCTCTGGGAGTTGCAGTCCTGCTATAAAACCGAGTGTGTTCCTGAATAAACTTGGCTCTTCCTTCCTGTCATGGAACACGACCGTGTAGCTGTGCATCTTATTTCTGCCTCACTTAAAGGCTTCAAAGCCCTTCCCAGGGCTACAGAGATCCCCAGGGCCACCTGAGCTCTGGGTTTGGGGGTGCAGGAGATGAGGTGCTGGCCCTGGGGACCTGCCACACCCCTGGCTGCTGTGCCTCCCCCAGTGCTCAGGGTTTAAATCCTGATGGAAAATGAAATCCTGCTGATGGCTGTGCTGGCTAACTCGGACAATCAGCTTTTCCCAGGGCTGCATTTATCTCTCCTGGCGTCTCAGCCGTGTTTTTTTCCCCAGCACACACGGGAGCAGGAGCTGCAGTGTGGGACCATCCCCACCCCGCTGAGAGGAGCAGCAGCAGCGTTGGGTGACCTGCCTGTGCAGATGCCAATGTCCATCTCACAATTCTTATTTTTCAGTTGCCCCCACAATTCAGGAACTAAAATCCAGCGGTGTGATGCTTGGAGGGAACGGCCTGATCCGGTGTGAAGGTGCAGGAGTGCCTGCCCCGGGCTTTGAGTGGTACAAAGGAGAGAGGAAGTAAGTAGCCACTGCATCCACCCCTCGTGTGCCAGGGCTGCTGCCAGGCTGGGGTGCCCGTTCCGGGGGCATTCCACTCCTGCTCTGTCAGAGCGGAAATTGCAGCAGCCTTGGCACCCCAAGGTGCTGCGGGAGTTCCAGCCTTTGAAGGGTGGTAGCCAGGAGAGCACTGGGGGAAGGTGCAGAAAGGATTTTTGTTTGATTTTGGAGGGGTGTGAGCGGTGCCCTGGCGGTGCTCGGTGGTCCCTGGGGTCAGCACAGCTCTGCAGCCAAGGGGAGGGACCTGCAGTCGAGCCCTGGACCCTAAAACCTGCCCGTGTGTTCTGGGATTGTGTGCAGCCCCTCTGGGACAGCAGCGTCCCTGCAGGGTCACCTCCATCCCAAAGGCAGCTCCTTAAACAGGGAGTGCTGTTGGCTGGAACATTTTGGGTTACAGCTCTTGGCTCCTGCAGGAGCTCCTTTCTCCTGGGCTCACACCCTGGTGCAGAAACAGGTGAATGGTGTCCCTGCAGGTGAATGGTGTCCCTGAAGGTGGATATTGTCCCTACAGGTGAATATTGTCCCTGCAGGTGAATATTGTCCCTGCAGGTGAATGGTGTCCCTTGAAGGTTGTCCCTTGAAGGTTGATGTTGTCCCCTACAGGTGGATGCTGTCCCTTGTAGCTGGGAAGCTTTGGGAATTTCCCAGCTCCCAAGTGCTGGGTTTTTCAGCTCCAACATCCCATTAAACCTGGGAGCTGGCAGGAGAATATTAATGACCCTTTTTCACACGGAGCCATCTGTCAGCTCCGTTCTCAGCTGCTCCCCCCCTGCAGCACGAGCTGCTGTCCTCCTCCCTGCCTGCTCAGCCACCCCACCTCATCCTAAAGCTCCCTGGAGCTGGTCTTCCCTGTATGACCGGGAATATTTCCCCTCTGTTGGTGAAATCCCTGCACCCCATCCCGTGGCTGCTCGGGCTCTGCTGTGCCCATCCCGGGGGCAGCTGCAGCCCAGACACCAACAGCCCTTTCTGTGGGAATATTTCAGAGCAGGTTTTGGCTCTCCGGGTTCAATTAGCAGCTCCCAGCATGCTGATCACCTTTCTATTTATAACTCTGAGCAAGCTGCTCTCTGCTGAGCACACCCAGTGCCACGGCAGCACAGGAAAGCCAGGCAGGGCATTCCAGGGCAGCCCAGCTCTGTCCTGCTGGGTCCTGCTGCTCAAATATTGGGTTAATTCCAACGCTCCATCCCTTCAGGAGTTGGGCTCTGATGGTCCTTGGGGGTCCCTTCCAGCCCAGGGGATCCTGGGAGCTTTTGCTGGTACACAAAAGGTGTTGGGGTGCTGAGCCCCATCCCCTGCAGGAAAGAGGAAAACATCCTTTGTTTTTTTTTTATTTTGGCTGGTTTTGGATCCAGTGTCTCCCCTCTGCCTCTGGATGATGGGCAGGCAGCTCAGGATGAGCCTTGGCCAGATCAGGGTGAGCCTTGACAAGATCAGGGTGATCCTTGGCCAGCTCAGGGTGATCCTTGGCCAGCTCAGGATGGTCCTTGGCCAGCTCAGGATGGTCCTTGGCCAGCTCATGTGATCCTTGACCAGCTCAGGGTGATCCTTGGCCAGCTCAGGATGGTCCTTGGCCAGCTCAGGGTGATCCTTGGCCAACTCAGGTGATCCTTGGCCAGCTCAGGATGGTCCTTGGCCAGCTCAGGTGATCCTTGGCCAGCTCAGGATGAGCCATGACCAGCTCAGGTTGATCCTTGGCCAACTCAGGTGATCCTTGGCCAGCTCAGGGTGATCCAGCTCAGGTGATCCTTGGCCAGCTCAGGTGATCCTTGGCCAGCTCAGGATGGTCCTTGGCCAGCTCATGTGATCCTTGACCAGCTCAGGGTGATCCTTGGCCAGCTCAGGTGATCCTTGGCCAGCTCAGG